ATATATATATATATATATATATATATATATATATATATATATATATATATATATATATATGTGTGTGTGTATATCACGAAAATAAACACGTGATTAAGAATGTGACAATGTCAGACCACGGAGGAAAAATGAAACAGGAAATTTCCTTAAGTACTTTCGTATATTAAATACATCTTCAGAAGGTGAAGATGTTTTTATATATATATATATATATATATATATATATATATATATATATATATATATATATATATATATTATTAAATATGACTGAAAAAAGTAAGATTAATAATTCTAACACAAATTTTCTCAATATTTCTTGTTTCTTTTCACTGTCGATGGCAATTGAAAAATCAATTCTCCAAAATTCCTTTTTATTTCTAGTCTGACGCGACACTTGAACGCGTTTCGTAATAACTTATTACATTTTCAAAGACTTTAGTTTACACTCACATAACTATAACCTGCAAACACTAAACAGAGTATTACTATGCTATAATTTAAATGGTTTTCATGTTATATACCTGCATTTGGGTGAGGTGATATGTTACAACAGTTTTGGATGAGGTGAAAACACAAGACAGAACACAAAACAATGGGTATAATATTGGGTAAGTTTAAAGGGAAGAATGGAAGTAGCTGCAAAGGGCCTATTGGCCCACATTTCTTGATGCTTCTATATTGGTGCGGAGTCTTGAAGTGGGTAGAATATAGTTGTGCATTAATTGGCTGTTGATTGCTGGTGTTGACTTTTTTGATGTGTAGTGCCTCGCAGATATCAAGCCGCCTGCTATCGCTGTATCTATCTATAGATAGATACATATTCAATGAGACATGTTTAAAAGAAAACCTGCTGCCAGTATACACCAATATATATATATATATATATATGTATATATATATATATATATATATATATAACTGAAAACTCACACCCCAGAAGTGACTCGAACCCATACTCCCAGAAGCAACGCATCTGGTATGTACAAGACGCCTTAATCCACTTGACCATCACGACCGGACATAATGAGGTGATAGCCGAGGCTATTTGAACCACCCCACCGCCGGCACTCGGATAGTTATCTTGGGCATAGCATTTTACCAAATCACCTCATTCTTTGGGGCAACACGTGAGGAACACAAATGCGAACAAGCCTGAATGGTCCCCAGGACATATGCAACTGAAAACTCACACCCCAGAAGTGACTCGAACCCATACTCCCAGAAGCAACGCATCTGGTATGTACAAGACGCCTTAATCCACTTGACCATCACGACCGGACATAATGAGGTGATAGCCGAGGCTATTTGAACCACCCCACCGCCGGCACTCGGATAGTTATCTTGGGCATAGCATTTTACCAAATCACCTCATTCTTTGGGGCAACACGTGAGGAACACAAATGCGAACAAGCCTGAATGGTCCCCAGGACATATGCAACTGAAAACTCACACCCCAGAAGTGACTCGAACCCATACTCCCAGAAGCAACGCATCTGGTATGTACAAGACGCCTTAATCCACTTGACCATCACGACCGGACATAATGAGGTGATAGCCGAGGCTATTTGAACCACCCCACCGCCGGCACTCGGATAGTTATCTTGGGCATAGCATTTTACCAAATCACCTCATTCTTTGGGGCAACACGTGAGGAACACAAATGCGAACAAGCCTGAATGGTCCCCAGGACATATGCAACTGAAAACTCACACCCCAGAAGTGACTCGAACCCATACTCCCAGAAGCAACGCATCTGGTATGTACAAGACGCCTTAATCCACTTGACCATCACGACCGGACATAATGAGGTGATAGCCGAGGCTATTTGAACCACCCCACCGCCGGCACTCGGATAGTTATCTTGGGCATAGCATTTTACCAAATCACCTCATTCTTTGGGGCAACACGTGAGGAACACAAATGCGAACAAGCCTGAATGGTCCCCAGGACATATGCAACTGAAAACTCACACCCCAGAAGTGACTCGAACCCATACTCCCAGAAGCAACGCATCTGGTATGTACAAGACGCCTTAATCCACTTGACCATAACGACCGGACATAATGAGGTGATAGCCGAGGCTATTTGAACCACCCCACCGCCGGCACTCGGATAGTTATCTTGGGCATAGCATTTTACCAAATCACCTCATTCTTTGGGGCAACACGTGAGGAACACAAATGCGAACAAGCCTGAATGGTCCCCAGGACATATGCAACTGAAAACTCACACCCCAGAAGTGACTCGAACCCATACTCCCAGAAGCAACGCATCTGGTATGTACAAGACGCCTTAATCAACTTGACCATCACGACCGGACATAATGAGGTGATAGCCGAGGCTATTTGAACCACCCCACCGCCGGCACTCGGATAGTTATCTTGGGCATAGCATTTTACCAAATCACCTCATTCTTTGGGGCAACACGTGAGGAACACAAATGCGAACAAGCCTGAATGGTCCCCAGGACATATGCAACTGAAAACTCACACCCCAGAAGTGACTATGTCCGGTCGTGATGGTCAAGTGGATTAAGGCGTCTTGTACATACCAGATGCGTTGCTTCTGGGAGTATGGGTTCGAGTCACTTCTGGGGTGTGAGTTTTCAGTTGCATATGTCCTGGGGACCATTCAGGCTTGTTCGCATTTGTGTTCCTCACGTGTTGCCCCAAAGAATGAGGTGATTTGGTAAAATGCTATGCCCAAGATAACTATCCGAGTGCCGGCGGTGGGGTGGTTCAAATAGCCTCGGCTATCACCTCATTATGTCCGGTCGTGATGGTCAAGTGGATTAAGGCGTCTTGTACATACCAGATGCGTTGCTTCTGGGAGTATGGGTTCGAGTCACTTCTGGGGTGTGAGTTTTCAGTTGCATATGTCCTGGGGACCATTCAGGCTTGTTCGCATTTGTGTTCCTCACGTGTTGCCCCAAAGAATGAGGTGATTTGGTAAAATGCTATGCCCAAGATAACTATCCGAGTGCCGGCGGTGGGGTGGTTCAAATAGCCTCGGCTATCACCTCATTATGTCCGGTCGTGATGGTCAAGTGGATTAAGGCGTCTTGTACATACCAGATGCGTTGCTTCTGGGAGTATGGGTTCGAGTCACTTCTGGGGTGTGAGTTTTCAGTTGCATATGTCCTGGGGACCATTCAGGCTTGTTCGCATTTGTGTTCCTCACGTGTTGCCCCAAAGAATGAGGTGATTTGGTAAAATGCTATGCCCAAGATAACTATCCGAGTGCCGGCGGTGGGGTGGTTCAAATAGCCTCGGCTATCACCTCATTATGTCCGGTCGTGATGGTCAAGTGGATTAAGGCGTCTTGTACATACCAGATGCGTTGCTTCTGGGAGTATGGGTTCGAGTCACTTCTGGGGTGTGAGTTTTCAGTTGCATATGTCCTGGGGACCATTCAGGCTTGTTCGCATTTGTGTTCCTCACGTGTTGCCCCAAAGAATGAGGTGATTTGGTAAAATGCTATGCCCAAGATAACTATCCGAGTGCCGGCGGTGGGGTGGTTCAAATAGCCTCGGCTATCACCTCATTATGTCCGGTCGTGATGGTCAAGTGGATTAAGGCGTCTTGTACATACCAGATGCGTTGCTTCTGGGAGTATGGGTTCGAGTCACTTCTGGGGTGTGAGTTTTCAGTTGCATATGTCCTGGGGACCATTCAGGCTTGTTCGCATTTGTGTTCCTCACGTGTTGCCCCAAAGAATGAGGTGATTTGGTAAAATGCTATGCCCAAGATAACTATCCGAGTGCCGGCGGTGGGGTGGTTCAAATAGCCTCGGCTATCACCTCATTATGTCCGGTCGTGATGGTCAAGTGGATTAAGGCGTCTTGTACATACCAGATGCGTTGCTTCTGGGAGTATGGGTTCGAGTCACTTCTGGGGTGTGAGTTTTCAGTTGCATATGTCCTGGGGACCATTCAGGCTTGTTCGCATTTGTGTTCCTCACGTGTTGCCCCAAAGAATGAGGTGATTTGGTAAAATGCTATGCCCAAGATAACTATCCGAGTGCCGGCGGTGGGGTGGTTCAAATAGCCTCGGCTATCACCTCATTATGTCCGGTCGTGATGGTCAAGTGGATTAAGGCGTCTTGTACATACCAGATGCGTTGCTTCTGGGAGTATGGGTTCGAGTCACTTCTGGGGTGTGAGTTTTCAGTTGCATATGTCCTGGGGACCATTCAGGCTTGTTCGCATTTGTGTTCCTCACGTGTTGCCCCAAAGAATGAGGTGATTTGGTAAAATGCTATGCCCAAGATAACTATCCGAGTGCCGGCGGTGGGGTGGTTCAAATAGCCTCGGCTATCACCTCATTATGTCCGGTCGTGATGGTCAAGTGGATTAAGGCGTCTTGTACATACCAGATGCGTTGCTTCTGGGAGTATGGGTTCGAGTCACTTCTGGGGTGTGAGTTTTCAGTTGCATATGTCCTGGGGACCATTCAGGCTTGTTCGCATATATATATATATATATATATATATATATATATATATATATATATATGTATAGCATGATATTTGATATTGATACAGTAGCATGATATTTTTGTGATGAAGCTCGTAATTTCCCAACTGTATTGGAATAAGGTTAACATACTAATATATGCAATATTATACTTTAACATTTTCTGAAGGTTCTCCCACATTAAAATTGTTTAGCCTATCATCCAAATGTACCATCATGTGCCTTTTCATAAATCCAAGATGACTGAATCTCTTACCACATTCTCAACACTTGAGAGGTCTCTCATCAATACCCACTAACATGTGTTTCATTATAGCACTATGTTCCTTAAATGTTTTATCTTTTCCCACACTCTGGACACATTTGAAGTTTGTCATCCATATGTGCCAACATGTGACTCTTCATAATTCCAAGCTGCCTAAATTTTTTCCCACACTGAACACTCACAAAGCTTTACATTTATGTGTGCCCACATGTGTCTCTTCATATTTCCAAACTGAATTTTTTTTCCACACTCTGGACATTAATGAGGTTTCTCATTTGTATGCACCAACATGTGTCTCTTCAGATATGCACGCAGACGGAATCTTTTCTCACACTCTGGACACTCGTGAAGTTTGTCATCCGTATGTGTTGACATGTGTGTCTTCATATTTCCAAGGTGCCGGAATTTATTCCCACACTTAGGACATTCATGAGGTTTCATATTTGTATGCACTAATGTGTGTTGTATTAGGACACCTCGTACCTTAAATCTTCTGCCACAATCAGCACACTCAAAAGGTCTCTCATCTGAATGCACCATCGAGTGCGTCCTCATATTTCCAAGGGCACGGAATTTCTTCCCACACTCTGGACACTCATGAGGTTTCTCATTTGTATGCAGTAACATGTGTTTTATTAGGGTACCACGTTCCTTAAATCTTCTCTCACAATCGGCACACTCAAAAGGTCTTACATCTGAATGCACCTGCGAGTGCCTCCTCATACTTAAAAGGTGACGGAATCTCTTCCCACACTTTGGACATTCATGAGGTTTGTCATCCGTATGCACCACCATGTGACTCTTCAGAGATGCAAGCTTACGGAATCTTTTCTCGCACTTTGGACACTTGTGAAGTTTGTCATTCGTATGTACCAACATGTGTCTCTTCATATTTACAAGGTGCCGGATTTTCTTGCCACACTCAGGACATTCATGAGGTTTCATATTTGTATGCACTAATGTGTGCTGTATTAGGACGCCACGTGTCTTAAATCTTCTGCCACAATCAGCACATTCAAAAGGTCTTTCATCTGAATGCACGATCGAGTGCTTCCTCATACTTTCAAGATTACGGAATTTCTTCCCACACTCTGGACACTCATGAAGTCTGTCATCCGTATGTGTCAATATGTGTCTCTTCATAGTTTTAAGGTGCTTGAATTTTTTCCCACACTGTGAACATTCATGAGGTTTCTCACTTGAATGCACTAACATGTGGTTTATTAGGGCACCACGTAACTTAAATCTTCTGCCACAATCAGCACATGCAAAAGGTCGTTCACCTGAATGCACTATCAGGTGATTCTTCATACTTCCAAGGACACGGAATTTCTTCCCACACTCTGGACATTTATGAGGTTTGTCATCGGTATGCACCAACATGTGCTTCTTCAGACATACAAGCTGATGGAATCTTTTCTCACACTCTGGACACTCGTGAGGTTTGTCATCTGTATGTGTCAACATGTGACTCTTCATATATCCAAGCTGCCTGAATTTTTTACCACACTTTGGACATTCATGAGGATTCTCACTTGAATGCACTAACATGTGGTTTACTAGGGCACCACGTTCCTTAAATCTTCTTCCACAATCAGCACACTCAAAAGGACTTTCATCTGAATGCACCTTCGAATGCCTTCTCATACTTCCAAGATGACGGAATCTCTTCCCACACTCTGGACATTTATGAGGTTTATCATCCGTATGCACCAACATGTGAATCTTCAGACATTCAAGCCGACTTAATCTTTTTCCACACTCTGGACACTCGTGAAGTTTCTCATCTGTATGCACTAACATGTGAGTCTTCACATATCCTAGCTGCCTGAATCTTTTCCCACACTCTAGACACTCATGAGGTTTATCACCTGTATGCACTAACATGTGAGTCTTTATACTTCCAGGATGACTGAACTTCTTCCCACACTCTGGACACTGATGAGTTTTCATCTTCATGACAGGTACAGTTTGTGTCATGGTTTTTCCTTAATGGTGCTCCTGCTGCTGATTATGGAGCCACGATGGCAGTGGTGCTCGATGTTACATCGCGTTTTCTTGAAGGATAAAATGCAAAGCCATTTGGTTACATTAGCGTCGCCTGTCGATGGAAAAGAATGGACTTTGTAGTGAATAAATGCACTGGTAGGCAGATGTTCGTGGAGCCCCTAGAGTTACTCAGGGAGGCAAGTGCCCCTATCAGAGAACACTAGGTAGCCAAAGTCATGGCCTCTCCTAAACTCGTACCGAAATGGGCAAAAACGCAAAACCTCTTCCAGATCCGTCTGTGAGAGCAGAAGCCAGCCGCCCACCACGCCCTGAGGGGCCCACCAGGAGTGCACCACGCCCTGAGGGGCCCACCAGGAGTGCACCACGCCCTGAGGGAACACAGGAGACCACCAAGACCCGCTAACTCTCGGCACCACTCGACCACGCCGCCGCCGTCGGAGTCTTCCTGCACTAATAACCAGCCAAAAAACTTAAAAACTTCCCTGTGGCCTCGGGCGATAAGCCGCCAGGCGTTGCAACAATCAGGACCGTTGAAGAGGAATGCCTGACGGTGGTATGGAGAGCCAAGGGGGTAATGTCGAGTCACGTGGTCCAGTGGGGGTGTGCACATGGCGTCGGTGTTGTTGTTGATCTAGTAATGGCGGGGGACGCTTACACTCCTGTGTCTATCATCACGTTTTCTTCAGACAAAAAAGCTTTGGATAAACTATAGTATACTTGAGTGTCCATGCATTTTGTCAATAATAATGAAATATAATAATAATTTGCTTACACAAATGTACATATATATGATACATGAACAAAGGAAGGGACATAGGTAATAATAAAAATAATAATAATAATAATAATAATTTCGGGCAAATAATTGCCCGAAACGCTATGCGTATAGTAGCTTTAGGTATTGTATGTACTAAATCTATCTTTAAATCAAACAGAATATTTGTACTGTAACTCTGCAACTATGTATGTACTTTTCCCAAATAAATTATTATTATTATTACTATTATTATTATTGATAGATTTATAGATAGAGCTAGTACATACAATGCCTAAAGCCACTATTACGCAAAGCGTTTCGGGCGTGAAAAACACTAAAGACTAAAACTTAATACTAATTGAGATTAAAGTATATAATGTGTTGAGAACAAATAAAAATAAAAAGGGGGGAACATAGCAGAAAAAACAGCTCAAATACAATTAGGTCGACAAACAGCGTTGTTTAAAAAATAACAGACATGGGTTGACAATATAGGGGTAAGGTAGGTTACAGGGAATTTATTAGGTAGCACTTAGTTTTTATCTTAAACTGGTTGGGAGAGGTACAGTCTTTAACATGGTTGGGAAGGTCATTCCACATTCTGGGTCCCTTGATTTGTAGAGCATTTCTAGTTTGATTAAGTCGTACTCTTGGAATATCAAAACTGTATTTATTTTTGGTGTGGTGCTCATGGGTTCTATTACAACCTTCAATGAAGCTTTTGAGGTCAGGATTGGCATTATAGTTCAGCGTTTTATATATATATATATATATATATATATATATATATATATATATATATATATATATATATATATGTATATATGTATATATATATATATATATATATATATATATATATATATATATATATATATATATATATATATATATATATATATATATATATATATATATATACATATACAATACACATGAGAGGATGTGCAGTGACTTGATATCTAACACATTAAGAGATTTGAGTAGGGGTACCGAGTGATGTCTGGGGCCAGAGTTGGATATTGTCCTAATAGCAGCTTTGTGCTGAGTAATTAGAGGACGTAAATGATTTTGGGTAGTAGAACCCCAAGCACAAATACCATAGTTGAGATAAGGATAGATGAGGGAGTAATAGAGCGTCACCAGGGCAGGGCGAGGTACATAATATATCTCAACAGTTTTTGAAACTTTTTTTTATATATTTAGAATGTGTCCCTGGAAATTCAGCTTGCGGTCAATGAGAACGCCAAGGAATTTGCCATCTATTTTGTTACAAATTTGGCTATTGTTTATCCTGAGATTTATTTGATTTGAGGATTTATTGCCAAACAGAATATAGAAAGTTTTGTCAATGTTAAGGGTGAGTTTGTTGGCAGTTAGCCAAAGATGGACTTTATTTAGCTCAGTATTTACTGTGGCATTTAGAGCAAGGGGGGTCAGGACTGGAGTAAATGAAGATTGTGTCGTCAGCAAATAGAATTGGTTTGAGGTGTTGGGAGGCATTTGGAAAGTCATTAATGTAGATGAGAAAGAGGAGAGGGCCAAGTATGCTGCCCTGAGGAACACCAATGTTGATGGGTAGGGTGGGAGAAATTGAATTATTCACAGAAACATACTTGAGCCTGTCAGTAAGGTAAGATTTGAGGTATTGCAGGGAGTGACCTCTGACTCCATAATGATGTAATTTAAGAAGAAGGTTTTGGTGGTTGACAATGTCAAAAGCCTTACGCATTATATAATAATAATAATAATAATAATAATAATAATAATAATAATAATAATAATAATAATAATAATAATAATAAAAATAATTGGCTAACTGCCAACAAACTCACCCTTAACATTGACAAAACTTTCTTTATTCTGTTTGGCAATAAATCCTCTAATCAAATAAATCTCAAAATAAACAATACCCAAATTTGTAACAAATTAGATGGCAAATTCCTTGGCATTCTCATTGACCTCAAGCTGAATTTCCAGGGACACATTCTAAATATATCAAAAAAAGTTTAAAAAACTGTTGGCATTCTTTCTAAGATCAGATATTATGTACCCCGCCCTGCCCTGGTGACTCTCTATTACTCCCTTATCTATCCATATCTCAACTATGGTATTTGTGCTTGGGGTTCTACTACCAAAATCATTTACGTCCTCTAATTACTCAACACAAAGCTGTTATTAGGACAATATTCAACTCTGGCCCCAGACATCACTCGGTACCCCTACTCAAATCTCTGAATATGTTAGATATTAAGTCACTGCACATTCTCTCATGTGTATTATACATATATAAAACGCTGAACTGTAATGCCAATCCTGACCTCAAAAGCTTCATAGAAGGTTGTAACAGAACCCATGAGCACCACACCAGAAATAAATACAGTTTTGATATTCCTAGAGTACATGCAACGTTTCGGGCAGGTCCTTAATCTAAGAAAATTTTAAGTAGGTAAATACTTGCAAAATTTATAAAAAATGATAACAGTTACAAAGCAAGAAAAATAATAAAAGATGAGAGAAAATTGTAGGTATATTAAAGCTCATAGGTAGCTCAGATTTATTGCAATGACAGCTTGAATGGTAGTTTAACAAAAATTAGTAGGCACAATACAGCGTATGGCTATCGCATAAAAGAAGACAGCAATGAACACAATGATAAAGTTGTTTGTGTTAAGTACATAAAGATTGGGAGATTGGGTAACACTAGATACAGAGCAAATTTAAAGCTCAGTGTAGGAAACAAAGAAGACGAGATTAGGTACTTTTTGGTTTTAGTTTTAAATAAGGCAAAAGTTGGACAGCTTTTCAATTCACTAGGGAGTGAGTTCCATAGACTAGGTCCCTTAATTTGCATAGAGTGTTTACACAGATTAAGTTTGACTCTGGGGATATCAAAGAGATATTTATTTCTGGTGTGGTGATAATGGGTCCTATTACATCTGTCCAGGGAGAGTTTCAGAGCATGGTTTGCATTTAAGAACAGGGTTTTGTAAATGTAGTTGACACAAGAGAATGTGTGGAGGGAGTTAATATTTAGCAAGTTTAGAGATTTAAACAAGGGAGCTGAGTGTTGTCTGAAAGCAGAGTTAGTTATTATTATGATAGCAGATTTTTGCTGTGTGATGATGGGCTTAAGGTGGTTTGCAGTGGTAGACCCCCATGCACAGATACCATAATTAAGATAGGGGTAGATTAGTGCATAATATAGTGAGAGGAGAGCAGAGTTAGGAACATAATATCTGATTTTGGAGAGTATACCAACTGTCTTAGAGACTTTCTTAGTTATGTGTTGAATGTGGGTGCTGAAGTTGAGTCTCTTGTCTAGGAATAGGCCAAGAAACTTGCCATCATTTTTATTACTGATGTTAATGTTGTCTATCTGTAGCTGAATTGCATTTGATGATTTGCTTCCAAATAAGATGTAGTAGGTCTTTTCTATGTTTAATGTTAGTTTGTTAGTTGACATCCATATGTGGACTTTTTTTAATTCATTATTCACAACATTATTTAGTGTATGTGGGTTGGGGTCTGAATAGATAAGGGTAGTATCATCAGCAAACAATATAGGTTTAAGAATATTAGAGACATTAGGCAGATCATTGATATATATAAGAAATAGAAGAGGTCCCAACATGCTGCCCTGTGGCACCCCAACGGTAATTGGTAGATTGGAAGAAGTTGTATCATTGATGGTTACATATTGGTGTCTGTCACTAAGATAGGATCGGATGTAGTCAAGAACAAGGCCTCGGATTCCATAATGCTGGAGTTTAAGTAAGAGGTAGTTGTGATTAACAGTATCAAAGGCTTTTCTTAGGTCAATGAAGAGTCCAATCGGAAACTCATTTTTGTCAAGGGCTGAGTAGATTACGTCAAGAAGACTAATGATTGCATCATTGGTTCTCTTTTGGGACCGTAAGCCAAACTGGCAGGGGCCGAGTATGTCGAATTTTACAAGGTAGGAATAGAGCTGTTTGTAGATAATTTTTTCAAATATTTTTTTATAGAATGTGTAGATTTGATATTGGTCTATAATATGTATATAATATATAATGGTCTATATAATATATCTGATGCCACATTTATATCTGGCGCCACATCTATATCTGGCGCCACCACCACCCAAACACAGAAAACAACTGCCTGCCGCAGCACCAAGGATCAGCTGACGCCATAAACACACACCGCCCTACGGTGCGGCAAGTCTCTAACGTACACCTCTGTTTCAGTCGCCGCTCCTATCTACAGCACAACTGAACAAACACTTTTGAAACTCTTATCATTCTCAACATAAACGCACCACCCAACAATTGTACTGGTGCAGTCATCGGGAGGATAAACCCTTCATGTAAACTACATTTACTATGGATCCTCTACTATCAAGAAGAAGGACGTCGCCTCCGCCGGACCACTCGACTGGACATTACCCTCTTGGCTCTCGATACCACCGTCAGGCGTTCCTCTTCAACTGTCCGGATTGTTGCGACGCCTGGCGCCTTATCGCCCGGGGCCACAGGGAAGTTTTTAAGTTTTCCGGCTGGTTATTAGTGCGGGAAGACTGTCCGGCGGCGGCGTGGTGGAGTCAGGCGACGCTAATGTAGCCACACGGCTTTGTATTTTACCCTTCAAGGAAACGCCAGAGCACATCCAGCACCGCTGCCATCGTGGCTCCATAATCAGCAGCATTAAGGGAAAACCTTCACACAAACTGCACCTAACATAAAGAAGAAGCACCACCATTGACCGCCAAGTGCTCACATCAAGTCTTAACTCTAAGAAACAACACTCAAGCCTTGCCTAACCCTCAACATTGACACTACCGTGACGCGTCTCTCAACATCACCACTCGTGGAGTCGGCCAGAGGAGAAAACCTTCACACAAACTCCACCTATCATAAAGAAGATGAAAACTCACGAGTGTCCAGAGTGTAGGAAGAAGTTCAGTCATCTTGGAAGTATGAAGAGTCACATGCTAGTACATACTGATGATAAACCTCATGAGTGTCCAGAGTGTGGAAAGAGATTCAGTAGGTTTGGAACTATGAAGAGACACATGCTAATACATACTGATGATAAACCTCATGAGTGTCCAGAGTGTGGGAAAAGATTCAGGCGGCTTGGAAACATGAAGGCACACATGCTAGTACACACTGATGATAAAACTCATGAGTGTCCAGAGTGTGGGAAGATGTTCAGAGGGCTTGGACATATGAGGGGTCACAGAGCAGTGCATACTGATAAAAGGCCTTTTGAGTGTGCGGAGTGTGGCAAAACATTTAAGGATCGTGGAAGTATAATACATCACATGATAGTACATTTGGGTGATAAATCTCATGAATGTCCAGAGTGTGGGAAGAGGTTCCGTCATCTTAGAAGTGTGAAGCGTCACGTGCTGGTACATACTGATAACAAACCTCATGAATGTCGAGAGTGTGGGAAAAGATTCCGTGATCTTGGAAATGTGAAGATCCACATGCTGGTACATACTGATGGTAAACCTCATGAATGTCCAGAGTGTGGGAAGAGATTCCGTCACCCTGGAAATATGAAGAGCCACATGCTGGTACATACTGACAGTAAACCTCATGAATGTCCAGACTGTGGAAAGAGATTCCGTCATCTTGGAAGTATGAAGCGTCACATGTTAGTACATACGGATGATAAGCTTCATGAATGTTCAGAGTATGGGAAAAGATTCCGTGATCTTGGAAATATGAAGATCCACATGCTGGTACATACTGATGGTAAACCTCATGAATGTACAGAGTGTGGGAAAAGATTCTGTGATCTTGTAAATATGAAGATCCACATGCTGGTACATACTGATGGTAAACCTCATGAGTGTCCAGAGTGTGGGAAAAGATTCAGGCAGCTTGGACATATGAGGGGGCACAGAGTAGTGCATACTGATAAAAGGCCTTTTGAGTGTGCCGAGTGTGGCAAGACATTTAAGTGTCGTGGATATATAATACAACACATGGTAGTGCATTTGGAAGATAAACCTCATGAGTGTCCAGAGTGTGGGAAGAGATTCTCTCGTCTATCAAACTTGAAAAAGCACATGATAGTACATTCGGCTAATTGGGTAAACATTTAGAGTGTGTGAGAACATTTAGAGAATGTTAAAATATAATAAGTCTCCTACAATATTAGTATATTAACTTACAATTATTGCAATATAGAGTTTGAAGATTGAGAGTTTCACCCCGAAAATCTCCTAAAATCACCTTGTCAATTGAACGTTCTAAAGGTCTTTTTGTTTTGTTTTGTTTGAAAAATATGATTCACCCCAAAAGGTAAAGCTCCACGGCATGAGGTATTCGGGTTTATTTCTATTTTGTATGAAAAATACTTTTCACCCAAAAGTTAAAGCTTCACGGCACAAGGTATTCAGGTTTATTTTTATCTTCTGTTCTTATTCATTTGTACTCATCATTGTATTAAACATTGAAGCGGGGAACAGAAAACAGTTTTAGATGTATTTATATGAGACTATTTTATTGACATGAAATATGTAGCTTAATTTATACAGTTTATATATAATCCTAAGTTTAAGTATTCCTTAACTGGTGTGTATGGTCATTATGAGCCTGTTTTACCAGGTAAAGTAGTAGCCTGTATTACTTTGATTGGTAATATAATTTATAGTTGTTTTGATTGTTGTACAATAAATTATAGTTAGTATTTATTCTGTCATTAAGTTATTTATTATAAAAAAAGGAGTAATACATGACTTTTATGACATGTTAAGTTTTATATAGAACTTGTTTCACAATTGTCTCGACATACAAGGTTACCATCCACTCACTGTAACATACAAGGTTACCATTCACTCACTGTAACATACAAGGTTACCATCCACTCACTGTAACATACAAGGTTACCATCCACTCACTGTAACCACTATATAGGATTTTTGTAATTAGCACATAAATAAGATTGAGGTACTGTTGTTTATTTATCCAATATTCTTTTGTTTGTCTCCCATAGTTGTTATAGTTATAATTGAAAGTTATTAAGGAATTGGATAAGTAACCAAGATAATTAAAAACATAGATGAGGAAGTGATTACAGTATTATAATGTTCTATAAATCATTTGATAGCAAAATTATCAGTTAATGAGCACTCTGTGGTCACTAAAAGATAAATGGTTATACAGGTATATATAATCCTGAGGCATATCACTGGTATGAATCCCTGCTAAGCATTACCTCACTCACTCACTCACTCGCACACACTCCAGGGAAGACACAGGTGGAAACTGAGTACCCACATGAGCCACAGAGACGTTAGAAGGAACTTTTTCAGTGTCAGAGTAGTTAACGGATGGAATGTATTAGGCAGTGATGTGGTAGAGGCTGACTCCATACACAGTTTCAAATGTAGATATGATAGAGCCCAGTAGGCTCAGGAACCTGTACACCTGCTGATTGACAGTTGAGAGGCGGGACCAAAGAGCCAGAATTCAACCCCTGCAAGCACAACTAGGTGAGTACACACACACATCATTCAGAAACCCAAGTAAGGAGACATTTAGGGCGCTTTACACTGCCTACGTGAGGCCAGTCTTAGAGTATGCCGCCTCATCATGGAGTCCCCATCTGAAGAAGCATATAATGAAACTGGAAAAGGTTCAGAGGTGTGCAACGAGACTCGTCCCAGAGCTACGAGGGATGGGGTATGAGGAGCGCCTGAGGGAACTGTGCCTTACGACACTAGAAAGAAGAAGGGAGAGGGGGGACATGATAGGAATGTATAAAATACTCAGAGGGATTGACAGAGTGGACATAGACGAAATGTTCATGCGGAATAATAGTAACAGAACGAGGGGACATGGATGGAAGCTGGAAACTCAGATGAGTCACAGAGATGTTAGGAAGTTTTCTTTTAGCGTAAGAGTAGTGGGAAAATGGAATGCACTTCAGGAATAGGTTGTGGAAGCAAATACTATTCATAATTTTAAAACCAGGTATGATAGCGAAATGGGACAGGAGTCATTGCTGTAAACCGATGCTCGAAAGGCGGGATCCAAGAGTCAATGCTCGATCCTGCAGGCACAACTAGGTGAGTACACACACACTGCTCACTATTGCACCAATGCCTCCTAGCACCTTGAAATGGTTAGCAACACAATCAATACATAGTACAGAACATGGCATTCTTGTCTAGGAAATAGTATCACCAGGAGAACTGGAGCATGAATTACGAGACCATTGTCACTTGGCTCACTTCTAGACGCCTGTGGATGAAAATCCCTCGAGGATGAAAGAAGGGGAGCAATATCTTTGTCATATAACACTTTGAAACTACTGACGGTCTTGGCCTCCACCACCTTCTCACCTAACTTGTTCCAACCGTCTACCACTCTGTTTGCGAAAGTGAATTTTCTTATATTTCTTCAGCATCTTTGTTTACTTTAAATCTATGACCTTTTGTTCTTCCTTGCTTGAGTGTGTGAGATCGAGTGTGGGAGAGTGAGATCGAGTGTATGAGAGTGAGTGAGAGTGTGAGGGTGAGATCGAGTGTGGGAGAGTGAGATCGAGTGTGAGAGGGAGTGAGATCGAGTGTGAGGTGAGTGTGTGAGAGTGAGTGTGAGAGTGAGTATGAGAGTGAGTGTGTGAGAGTGAGAATGTGTGAGAGTGAGTGAGTGTGTGCAAGAGTGAGAATGTGTGAAAGTGAGTGAGAGTGAGAGTGAATGAGAGTGAGTGAGTGTGTGAGAGTAAGAGTGAGTGAGAGTGTGTGTGTGTGTGAGAGTGAGTGTGTGTGAGTGAGTGAGTATGAGAGCGAGATTGTGTGAGGGTGAGTATGAGAGTGAGAGTGTGTGAGAGTGAGTGAGAGTAAGTGAGAGTGAGTGAGTATGAGAGTGAGTGTGTGAGAGTGAGTATGAGAGTGAGTGTGTGTGAGAGTGAATGAGAGTGAGAGTGAGTATGAGAGTGAGAGTGAGTATGAGAGTGTGTGAGAGTGAATGAGAGTGAGAGTGAGTGTGTGTGAGAGTGAGCGAAAGTGTGCCTGCCTGCTACAGCCGCCACCACCCGCCACCACCTGCTACAGCCGCCACCACCCGCCACCACCTGCTACAGCCGCCACCACCCGCCACCACCTGCTACAGCCGCCACCACCCGCCACCACCTGCCACCGCCTGCCACAGCCGCCACCACCCGCCACCACCTGCCACCGCCTGCCACAGCCGCCACCACCCGCCACCACCTGCCACCGCCTGCCACAGCCGCCACCACCCGCCACCACCTGCCACCGCCTGCCACAGCCGCCACCACCCGCCACCACCTGCCACCGCCTGCCACAGCCGCCACCACCCGCCACCACCTGCCACCGCCTGCCACAGCCGCCACCACCCGCCACCACCTGCTACAGCCGCCACCGCCTGCTACAGCCGCCACCACCCGCCACCACCTGCCACCGCCTGCCACAGCCGCCACCACCTGCCACCGCCGCCACCACCCGCCACCACCTGCCACCGCCTGCCACAGCCGCCACCACCCGCCACCACCTGCCACCGCCTGCCACAGCCGCCACCTCCCGCCACCACCTGCCACCGCCTGCTACAGCCGCCACCGCCTGCCACAGCCGCCACCACCCCCCTCTGCCTGCCACCCCCCCCGCCACCACCTACTGCGGCCCCCCAGCCATCACCCGCCACCGCCCGCCACTGCCGCCACTGCCCGCTGCTGCCTGCCACCACCCACCACCACCCGCCGCCCGCCATTGCCCACCACCACCCGCCACTGCCCGCTGCTGCCTGCCACCACCCACCACCACCCGCCGCCCGCCATTGCCCACCACCACCCGCCACTGCCCGCTGCTGCTTGCCACCACCCACCACCACCCGCCGCCCGCCATTGCCCACCACCACCCGCCACTGCCCGCTGCTGCCTGCCACCACCCGCCACCACCCACCACCACCCGCCGCCGCCCGCCGCCCGCCATTGCCCACCACTACCATCCGTCACCACCCGCCACCACCTGCCACCGCCTGCTACAACTCACTCCCAATTAACATACAGCACAAACTTAATGACACGCGCCCCAACAGACAACGAACCATCAATCTTGCCTGTACAGCTATCGACGTGTCGGACCTTAATGATGCAACTGAATGGGAATTAAATCATGCACTAAAGTTGGGCAAATCAACTGCTGGAGAGGACGGTATTATTTACAGTTTACTGAGATTAGTCTCACACGTACCAGGTAATCCATTATTAGTGTTGTACAGAATGAGTTTAAGTGAAGGAGTATTACCTGATGCTTGGACAAAGAGTGTCATTGTTCCCATCCCCAAACCACACTCGGACAATTATAGACCCATATCTCTAACATCGTGTGTCTGTAAAGTGCTTGAACGTATTGTTCTTAACAGACTCATGTATCGTATACAGGGGCACCTGTCACCCCAACTGTTTGGATTTATGCCTGGGCTCAGTACACAACACTGTTTTGCTGAGTACTTCGCACATATTGAAGCTTCCCCTCAAACAGTCTTCGACCTAGCAGCAGCTTTTGATACAGCAAACAGGGAAATTATACTGGAACAGCTTGCCGAGGTGGGAATACAAGGAAAATTACTGAAAAGATAAAGGGCTATTTGTCTAATCGAACAGCATATGTTTTGTTTAATGGTGTTAAAGGTTAGGTTAGGTTAGGTTAGGTTAGTTAAAAGCACAGAGAACAAACACTGAACTGGGAACTCCACAAGGAGGGGTCCTCAGCCCCTTGTTGTTCAACGTTCTGATGCACAAACTTATTAAAGATCTTCCAACTAATAATGAAGACACTGTCACTTGTTATGCTGATGATATACTCTATGTTACATTTGTTGTTTACCTACGTAATTCTAAGATACTGTGTAGCTGTCCTTGGTGCTCGGAAGATGCGCTGACAATTATTGTATATATTTACTGAATTTACCCAAGAACCACTAACTATCTAGTGGCCTCGACGAGGACAGATAGCCGGCGGCTTGTTAAAGGGCACGCCAATTGTCTTAATAATATTTTTTAGCTGGAATTTGGCATTTACGGCTTCAGCAGGTAGGCCGTTCCATGGGTTTATAACCCTCTTCGTGGAAAAAACATTTG